GATAACTATACATCTGCCCAAATTGTGCATTTAATGCTTCTAAGATAACGGGATCTATAAAATTTACATGGCCTTTTATTCCCTGATGCGATGTACTATTACGCGGAACAACTTTAGAGAGTCCAAAATCAATGATAATTACTCTAATGCCATCTTCGAAGCTTTCATCTCTCTTAATAACTATATTTTTGGTATGCTATTGAATATGACGTAGTTTTTCGTTATAATCATTAATAACTATTAATTTTTAATTAACGAGAAAAGAACTTACTAAGTCACGGTGTAAAATCTCATTGTTATGTAGAAAGTGCAATCCACATGTGACCTGACGTGCAATATTAATTTTTTGTTCCCATTTCAAAATATCACGGTAGTTCTTCAAATAGTCTCGTAAGCACCCAATATCTGCATGTTCTAATACGAGCAAAAATGGTTCTTCCTCATTAAACCGCGACACCCCAAAACATTCAATGACATTTTGTAACCTATTTTATTTATAGTTGATTGTTCCCCAACTCTAATTGAATCAAAAGCTTTGATCTATTTAATAAAATAATCAAAATTTTAATTTATTAATCAAAGGTATTATGAAGGAGTTGACAAATCGGTTTTACCTTCTTAACAAGCTCTTGATGTTCCGGCTCTGTTATAACTTCATCAGGCACAATTTGTTTTAATATGATGACTATATTTTTTGTTTTCCACAGGGCTTTTCTTATGACTCCGGTACCCCCGCTATTAGCAAACATCGGGTTTTCAAACTCTCCATGGTCAATAAAATTGATGTATTTCTTTTTTATCATTCTACTAATCCAATCAATATTGGTTTCTCCATTATTTTGTCTAGGTAAAAGCATGTCTGACATATTGAATACAATTTATTATAAATATTTGTATAATTTTTCAGAAATATTTTAATTCAGATTCACCGTCAATTTATATAGATATGCCTATACACTTGTACTACAAGAGGTAAATTCAAATCTGCACATTACATTTAATTAATGGTTACGTTATTATGAAAATCAATACTTGACTGTATTAATTATTTCGATCATTTTATTATAGGTAATGTAAAAAAAACTTTGTTAAACGATAATTCAGTATTTGTTACAATTAATATCAAAGTGATAAAATTGGATATATGTATAATTCCCATTTAAATTTCTTGATTTGAAGTTGCTCTCCTAATTTAGGATGAATATGAATCAACTCCGAATGCACATCTATTCTGTGTACGTACGTACATACCATATTTAGTG